AGGGGCTGGGATGCTGCATAGTCATGTCTATTACACACTGGAGATAACAGAGCCACACATGTAATGCCAATTCAATGAACATTACAACTGATTTCTTTCAGTGTTAAACACAGAACCCTGTTTTTAGAGCGGACTTACTCGTTCAGGCAGGTGAGGTCCTCGAGAAAAAGGTTTGATGAAAATAAATGCATGATGTGTGGACCATCTTTTAAGGTGATGAATGTAATCTGAGATTCATATTATTTTCCTGTATTACTAGTTTCCTGTGGTTTCTAACAGAAAATGTTATTAGACATATTTAGAGCATTTTGCAAAAAAGACAAAGCTGTGTAAGAAATATCTAAACAGCAGAAATGGCAAAACGTTACTGGTCCCCACCAAAATATTGTCTAGTAAATAACCCTGTGAAAAACACCATTTTGTTTTTACACTTATGTACACTCTCTGTACAGCTAAAACAATGAAATATGTTACTTGGTGACTTGGAGACTTGCTGGAATGCAGTTTTACCTTCCTTCAGTTCCATGGTAGCTGATTATTTGCAGTCTTTGTGCAATGCTAAGCTCACTGGCTACAGGGAGTAGTTTGAAAAATTTCACATTTAATTAACAAACATGACACATATATTGAAGACTAGCATGTTTTTATATTGTGGAACACAGAGGATGTCATTAAAAATATTGAAATGCCATCATGTAAGGAAACATATTTCTTGAGTCTTCTTTGCAACTCTATTGCAATCCACGACCCACCGACAATGAAATCTGAGCCCACAGTATGTTCCATGTTTGTGTTATGACTATCATTAAATGAAAAAGCTTATGGGATGCTGTAAGCAACATGCATCATGAAACAAAGAAGTTCAACTTTGATGCTCAAAGTACGGCAAAACCCCCAGTGGAGAAGTAACACTGCAGTTGTATGTCTTTTTAACCACAATTATATGTGTGTGTGGGCTACATTTTATGCTAAATTAGTTTCCAACCACTGCCAAGGCGGTTAGTTACAAAACTTCAGGCACCGCATTTAGGGACATGTACACTTCAAAGGTATGAAACTCTTACCTGGAGAATGATTTAACAGTTGGCTTGAAAGCAATGTACCCTTCATTAAAAAGCAGAGCCAAAAGTCCTTTAGACGCTGCAGCACTTCAAAACTAAGGGGAGGGCTTTCCATTAACTCAATGGAAAAAGGCTGCAGGACTGAATGGTGGGTGTCTGCGTGTGTTTTTGTTCCTCTATGTCTTTGCCGCAGAAATGGCCATGGATCCATTAGTCTGATTTGTCACAGCGGGAGCACCCCAAAGATCTCTTATCAGCACAACGTACCTCTCGAGTGGCGAGTCTGTCGCTCATCTCCTCTGCTTTTGCAATGTCCCCTTCAGCTATGGCCTTCTCTATGCTCTTTTCTAGGCCGGACTGCAGAAGAGGGGGGAGAGAGAAAAAAAATCAGACTCTTTTTTTGAAATAAGGGTAGAGAGAGGCAAAGAGAGAAAAAAAAAAAATCAAAGAGTAACTTTAAAAGTCCCCAGGGCCTTATTTTTAATATGATTGCCATTACTACAAATATGTAGATTTCCCTTCACAAATGAAAACCTTTTTGATTGGATATTAGTGGGGAAATCTTAGAAATGCTACAGGAGATTACCAAACATAAATGTGACTCTTTAATTACACATTTCCATTACAGGCCTCAGCTGAGGAGGGGGTGTGCAGAGAAGCCCCCGGTTACTGATGGAAAGGCAGTTCTGAGCCTATCTGAGGGAGCCGGGCACCAGATTTCTTCAGCCCCCCAAAACTTCATCATGCTAAAAAATACCCTGGTAAGAGGCAGTAATTATTAATGTGTCTGCTCTCATGCATTGTTTGAGGACCTTAAGTCCACAGTCAAAGTACAAGGACAGTACCATGAGGCTTATAAACTCTGGTTGTTTAATCTTGATTTAGCTTCAAATAGTATTTTCACTCTACTGACACTGGTGCTTCTAGTGATCCCAATTATCACTGTTAATCACAAACAAAATTCAAATTGACAGACCATCATCCTGTGTATCATTAAATGTGTTTTAAGGTCACTGAAGACTCACTGTTAGCAGATGAATTAATTACATCTGACTGCTTTAACAGCTTTTTTCCTCAAATGACTGTGTGAAAGACTTGGCAGAAATAATAAAAAAAGATATTAATTACAAGGAAGCGCATTTGAGGGATGAAGGAGTCCGTCATTATGTTGATGTGACAAGTTCTGTTTCATTCAGCTTGTTCATCGTTTCTTTTTATCCTTTAATAGTTGCCCTATTCAGAATGAGGCTCACAAATCAGCAAAAACTCAATTTTATGCTGCTCTGATAAATTAAGCACAAAATACTCCAAAATAATCATTAAAAGGATTTCAAATTGAAATGAGAACAGTTCCCATTCACTGGGTCAGCTATAATGTTCATCAAGCTTGCAAATATTTTGCTTCGTTAGCAATTTAGATGCCTTTGAATAAAATGTTCAATCATCTTCAAGTGCAGAAATGCATATGAATGGAAGAATCCTTAGATTTAATTTTATTTTTAATTACGAATGCCACAGAACTTCTAGCCCCTGACCATCTATCATCCAACCATTCATTTAAATGCTCCAGCTGCAGTCACAGAGGGCTGTGTCAGGTGCCAGAACACTATTTTAGATTTTCACTTTTTTCTCGCAGAGAATAACCTACATCTCATGTAAATCACAACTCTACAAGAAAGGAGATTTATCCTAATCTTATCACTAAATGTAGCCAAACATAATCCTTATTATTCGTCTCAGTGTCAGGCTGAGTTACCATAAGGATTCTTCTAATCCATATGTCATGTCACGTAAAACAATGAGAGCATACTGCGGCACAGAAACATAAAAGATGTGAAGTTGATGCTAACAGCTACGACAGACGCAGTATTAAAACCTTTTGCAGATAAGTTGGAAGGCAGGAGTCTTTATTACCTTCAGAGGGGGGTTGGAACATGCAGGGGGATCAAATCGATCATTTACACCAAAATACTGCTTAAGCCCATCCCAGTGCTGCTCCCGTTCCTCCTGACACACTCTGCTGACAGAAAGAATGTGCGTTTATGTTCATTACATGTAAACCAGTGATGAGATAAGATATTCACTGCTTCTACTCAGTGTCCATCCTTTACTATCTATTTTCTACACTGAAATGAGATCTGTATGTGCTAATACAATACAGCCAATAAAGACAAGCAAATAACCCAGGATTAAAAGACATTATAAAAATCAAACAATACAATGCAAATACTATACAAAGGCACAGTGGAATAATTACACATGATCGCATGATTTGTTTTGCTTTAAGCCATGTCTTCAATTTGTATTGAATTTGATTGTACACTAGTTGAGACTGATGATGATTTCACTAATAATCACTAAAGATAAATATTGTTTGCATCTTTACGACAGAACACATTTGCTCCACATTCTAAACAACCATTTACAAAAGCATATCAGTACTATACAGTACTATACTATGCTTTAGACCAGACTAGTCTAGTACTATGCAATACTATGCTATGCTACACTAGACAAGACTAGACTAGATCAGGCAGCCACTGGACTGTGTTAAGACCTGCAGACTGGTATATTACTGTAATAAATTGTATATTTTTTATTTAAATTATAACATATTTTAATGATGTGAAATAGTGTAGCAGGCTATGCAAACTGATTTGAAGAATGTGATGCTTTAGGTGTCTTCAATGTGTTGTGAAGGTCCAACATTTAGGATCAGGCTGCTAAACAGTGTTTAGTGTTTCCACTCTTTTGTTTTAAACATTACTTGATATTTATAGCCAGCCATTTTGTTGTATTAACTTCCCAGAGTTGACAGTGTCTCATTTTTGTACCTTGTCTCTGTCGGCTCCTCGGTTTCTGTTCCTGCTGAATGACACAAGAAACACAGTTCAAATTTGTTAGGATAGTTTCATACAAATCAACATCATCTAAAAAGTGATATGCTGTATTGGTGGTCTAAAGCTCTAATATAGGTTAGGTTGAGTCTTTTATCCTACATGAGAACAGAATACATAATAACAGTGGCAGTCATGGAGACAGAAAATGTATTGTATGGTCGCTGACACCTTTCTTGTGTCGTCGTCTTTTTCTTTTTCTCTGAACCGTCATTGTCTTCATTTCATCCCTCTTCTTCCGTAGGTCCTGAAATTTCTTTAACAGAGACGTACAACCTGAATTCACAAATGCACCACAACCCCAGATTATCTACTTCTGAGGTAACTGTATTGTATTTTGAAGCCACACTGAACTACAGTGCATATATATATATATATATATATATGAGTAGTTCAGTGTGGCTTCAAAATCCTTTCACATGTTGGCATGCAGGTCTGTGGATTCAACAGAACTAGTGAAGTGAATGTTGTGTCAGCCCTCATTCACCACAACACCACAGGTACACCGCAGCTAGCTTGTATCTCTGGATGCTAGGCTCACAGCAGATCACTGCACAACACAACAACATACTTGCCACACTTCCTGGGACACACCAGGCACGCTGCATGTCGGGGAGCCACTGACAGTGTGAGTCACTGCTGCGTCCTCCATCACTGAGCTCTCACACTTCTCCTCCATCGACCTCTTCTCTTCAACATCCTGCTCCTCGTCACTGAGGTCGTCCTCCGTGAAACCTTTGGGCAAAAGTCCGCTGTACATTCCGACTCAGCGGTTTTCAGTCAAATTACAGGTTAATATTTCATTTTAATAAACTAAAAACACGGAGAGAAATCGGTCAGCGGTTGTTTCTCGCTCTCATTTCCGGGTAAACACAGTGACGTTTTCACAAGGAAAGCACTGATTGGCGGAGCACGAGCACGTAGAACACTTCATCCAATCAGAACCGCGGTTACAAATGTAATCGAGGTCGAGACAAAAGCTCTGATTGGCTGTTTATGGTGAGCGGAACTTGTAACAGGTAAGTGCTATTTGACTTTTTGAGGCTCACACCGCGCCTCCCTCGTGTTAACTCGTGTTAACTCGTGTTTAGAGTTCAACCTGACAATATAAACTATTTGAAGAGCCGCAGCAGTGTCAGCTCGTGTCCGCCGTGAAGTCCAGTGAAGAGCATTTCTAATTGAGGTGAGCCAGGCGGCTGACAGGTCCCAGAATGACCAGGATTCATTCAAATGTTAGTCTATATTTGAGGCGAGATAAGCTTCCTTCTATGACCAATGATTCGCAATTTGCTCAAAGTGCTGCGGGCATTACATTATTATCAGAATGATTAGCATGCAAATCTTGTATAGCCGCTGGCACTGGCACAGGAACATCTACCCTTAAATTGCTCTTTCACACTCATTCACATCAGGCTTTCATTCGGTTGCATCTTATTGCAAAGCCCAACAATCTACATAAATTATGGTCTGTATTTTGTCTGCCGTGTGAATGTCGACTGAGACCTGTAACACCAGTGTACAGACTAAAGGTCAATAGGTTTAGATAGGCTGAACACTGTGTGTGAGAAGGACAGTGTTTAAGGTAAACCAGCAGTGTTGTGCTGTCTGCAAGTCCTGCATAATCACAGAACAATACGTTTTCTTTAACTTTATATTTTTGGTTGCTTACTTATTTAAATGTCCGTCAATAAAACTACACCCTGAACGTGGCAAAATTAAGCAGTCAGACCTGGAGCGATTGTCAAATGAATGGATCCATTGCTTGATAATCACTCATACGCTTATGACACAATTTTGATAATTGAGTATTCACTTAAGTTATCAATTAAATAAATACCATGTTCTTCTGTTTGCGCCTTTATTCCTCTGCTTTCCATCTAAAAAAAAAAAATGAACACAATTCATATCAAATCCATTTATAT